AAAGGACTAATGGTAGAGATTACAAAAAACTGTCATTAGATATAAATAAATAAATATTTTATTGCATAATTTTGCATTAAAAGGCATTTATGGTGAAAGGGGTATAATGTGATAAGGAAGTGAAATGAGATTCATTTATACACTGAATTTTTAATTCTAAAAGACATCATGTTCCCTCTGGATTTTCACCGCCGCAACTCCATGTTCAGACTTTTTCTTGACTAAAATTATAAAAAGGCTCAAAATAAATATAAATTATTAGAGGATTTCAATTATAAACAAATTTATCTAAAGATATGTCCACAATGAAACACTGCAGTTAATTTAAATCAAAAGTGGAGAGAATTGCTGTTAGTGATATTGAGCAACATTGGTGTGCATGAGATTCCCGTAATACCACACAAAGTTGAAATCATTAAGAGTATGTGTTTATGATGAGGTGATGGCAAATAAAATGAGCAGAGTTAATGAGAGGGATGTGGATATTTCGGTGCAGAGATGATGTATACTTGAAGTGCAAGTTGAGCACCATTTGACTAAACACCAAAGTAACTGTGTCAATATCCCCTACCAATGCTCAGTATAGCTTCACTTGGTCATTGATATAAAGGCACAAAAAGACACTGCACTCACGTGAGGGGGCTCTTAGACAATAGGCGGTGGAGAATCGGGCAATCCAAGAATACTCCGAATCGTAAAACTCTTTTCGGTTGCAACTGTCCTGTTGTCCGTCTTTAGACCGATGTCCACTTCCAACTAAAACGAAAGACTTTCAGTGATTTTCGTTTGCCACTTTTCCCCTCCCCCCCCCCTCTTGTAACATGGAAATGAAAGATGGAAATATTTTTGAAAACCCTTGATGCATGATACGATATTCATTTAAAATGTGCCTGAGAATTTCCCTGTCCTTAGGAGCGTGTAATAAGAAATTTGATTCTAAATTAAGCCTTCTGACCTCCCATGATCAATGCTCCTCTTTATTTGGAAGACTTAATAATTTGTAACTACAAGTGGAATGGGCACATACCTGAAGTACGAGTATCAGGATTTTAGGAATGGCAGTATCCGACACGAATGAGTCAGACCCACACTTCTCTTCCATTTATAACTTGGGGAAATCCTATTAGTATTATTACAACGGCTGAGGTAGATTCAATCTTAATTAACCACTACGTATACATTTGTTTACAATTTCCAACTAATTTCTTAAAACAACGAAAAATAGTTGAGGAAGTGAACCAATGGAGATTGTGGTGGTAAAATAATGGTAGATATTAGGTGGACAGATGTAATATAACGTTGGGAACGAATACTTCCACTAAAGATGTGCATTTGCAGAAATTATCGAGCTACCACTGTGTACTCACATGGAAACGAGGATTACGGGAAAAGAGGCTAAATAATGTTTAAGATGATAACGATAGAAGAAAACGATTGAAGCGACACGAATTTACGAACTAAAAGAAGACTTCACATGCATTTAGTTCTAATGTGCGATTTAGAACATATTTCCGAAGAAGTGTGTAACAGAAAGTCTGGTCAATTTTCAGGTGTTACAAAAGCGAATCTTTGCAATAAACAATAGATTTAAAACTGTACAGATGTATACACGTGAGTTTCAGAAGCAAAGATTTTCAGTTCATCTCCATGACTTCGGTGTAGTATAAGACTACTTAACCACATCAGAGTATGATATTGAGTCTTAATCCATTCATATCTCATCATCAAAATGCAAACCAACTCTCATTTGCCTATCATCATTTATATACCATACTTGAGCATTTGAATACTTTGACTATCCTCAACTATGTCGCCTATTTACAAGCCGTTTCTCTCCAACAGCGATTTTAAATAGCATTCCCTCTTCTAAATACTCTGTGATAATGGTTTGAATACAAACGTTTTACTAGGAAAAAACAGGAAAGAATAATTTACTCACATTAGAAGGCACATGGACAGGAGGTTGTGCATCTGGTAAGCCAAGAATTTCGTCAATTGTGAAACCAAGAGTTGACATATTCTGTGATGAATGAGTTTTCTTGTTGTTGAATGAAATATATATTGTAGTTCATTATGAGTTTGCTTAAATTTAATTGGCTTATGAAGGACCAATGAGAGAGAGAGTAGTTAGATGCGTAACTTATGCACCAATCAATTTTAAATATGTCATGGGGATGCTGACCTATCAGCAACCACTTCTGTGAGAATCACACTCCTTAGCATATCCAAATACAATTGAACGCACGAAATATCAATTACAAAGTAGTAAATAGAAAAGCAATAGTTAAACTCTCGATGGAGGAAAATTGTTACTGAAAGTGCGATTTTAGATTTAAGATATTCTTCATGAATTTGGATTACAGAGGGATTAATTCAACATGGGATATATTCGTGCTCATCATTTGATTCAAATATTAAGAGTCACTCAAAGCATGCATCCTGAGTGATTCCGCTTTATCTAATCTCATCTAATTGTGTCTATTGGATCACGTAATTGTTTCATGTGAATGCAGTTCCATGCAGTGAATGTGTTTCATGATATACTCATGAAAGATCAATCTTCAAAGTTACCAACAATCTCAGCTGTGATACACATTGAGTAACCCCCATTTTACGCTCAAAATACATGTTTTATCGAGCAATAGTAGACTGATTTACATCTATGTAGATTTTTAGGATATTTGTATTTGCATCAACAAATCTTACGAGTTCTTCTTGTGTTTTGTTATTTAAGGTTACGTGTTCTATGCAACTTGAAAGGAATGATTCGAGGTCAATGCAAATGTTAATTAACTTGTTTCCTAATTATTGGTTGGAACGACATTGAAGTGGATTTATTTTACGAAATTTTCACTCAAGACTGCTAGCATATGTGCTTTTTGCTTTTTAAAGTATTCGAATGTGTTGTCAAAGTGGGGAAATTGGTGTGGATTCTTGAACCAAGTTCCATCGACATACTGGGAGCCACTCGAAATTAACACATGTTTTGAAATCTAACAGGAAAAACGATTCTTCATATTAAACTCAACTTTTCTTGCAATGCAATATCTCCTCTTGAGAACTTAATTCTATTTTGTCTGAAAATGAGGCTCCTTTCAATCTTATTCAACGAATTAATTAATTCAATTGCGAAATTTACTTATTCGAGCTCCCCGTCATTCATAACCCAGACACTACTTTGCCTACGCGGATTTATAACTTAGTATATGGCCACAATAAACTGAAATCTAAAACTTAATGGAGCATTTAATATTCTGAAAGTAGTGATAAGTGGAATTAATTGAACGATAATTAGGTTGTTTTGTTGAATTTTCATAATGCGAAATTAAGGTTAAGTGAGAGACGAATGTATGTAAACAGCAATTTTCGATCAAAACAGAAAATCCAGGACTTTTACGGAAATTTGTGCCCAGATACTAATGGGGACGCAATGCTTACGCAAACATTGCTTCGCTAGATATTAGTCAGATCAACAAAATATTGATCCCAAATTGGAAATCACATCAAAGTCATGTTGTTACCAATATATGATTTTATTAGTGAAATTCTGATCCCCTTATCTACCAAATTTATTTGGACGTTAATATTGTTGACCTTCCCATGCTGATTAAGTCTTCTAAATGTTTCCTCCAAGGACAAATTTCGAATCCATGTTTTCAGTAACGTTACCTAACTTGGTGATTACAGCTAACGTTGTCGGTATGACATTTAGTCCATCGAATTTTACCCCTTTCCCTCCCCCACGAAATGTGTACTTTTGGTTTCTTCCTAGAAGGCAATTTGGAAGCTATCGAAACGATTGAATCACATTAAGAGTAAAAGTTAATTGCCAACATGGTTTACAAAAGCGCGTAATAAAATTATCGTGAATGAACCGAGTTAATGAGTGCTTTCCACCATTACGTCGATGCAGATGTTTGGGATGTCTGTATTTACATCAACAAATCTTACATGTTGTTCTTGTGATCAGTTATTTAAGGTTACGTGTTCTGTGCAACTTCGAAGGAATGATTCGAGGTCGATGTACATCTTAATGAATTAATTTCCGAATTGTTGGGAGGAACGACATAGTAGTGGGAAATACTTAACTAATAGTTGCGACAATCGACATCAAACCTCCTTGACGCGACCGTATGTAATATTCGACAACCTCCACATAACTCACCTCACCTTCACTTTTCACTACCTTTATATCTGTCTCACTTTCATCTGTGTATCTCTCTTCTGTCCCAACGTCCCTTTGACCTTTGTCCCTCTGATATTCCTACCCACTGTGAAGTCCAAAGTCAACTACGTGACCAATGTTGACTTTCATAATGTTTGCCATTTGATCTACACTAATTAGGATTTGTAATAATGAGATCAAAAACCAAAAGATCTTTAAGATGTTTATCTAAAATGCACTGAGTCTACATACTCACTCTTTGGATCATATAGACATTCAATGCAGTCCTTGTACATTTTGAATGCACATTTTACTATATATATTTACATTTACTGTTCACCAAGAGGGCGATGTCGAAATGTGAAAATTGGTGTGGATTCTTGAGCTAATGTCCATCGAAATACTGTTTAGCCACTCAAAACAAACATATATTTTGAAATATAACAAGAAAAATGATTTTTCTTCTAGGGGAATTGACATACTTAACACAACTTTTCTTGCAATGCTATACCTCTCCTTGCGAATGTTATTCCATTGTGTCCCTACCATGTGAAACTTCATGTCAATTCATGTCATCATCTCGATTTTGTTTTGTAGGTTGATGGCAATAATCGAAATGATTAACTATTGTTTTTCTATTTTTACTTTAATGTTTTGCGCATGCGATTGCAATTGAATATGCTAATCCGAGTGATTCTCTCACTCGATTGGTGCATAAGGCATGCGTCCCATTGCTCGCTCTGATTGGTCCCTCATAGGCCAATCATATATAAGTACTTTCATACTGCATTATAAAGCATTACATGCAACACTCTATAACTCATTTACCAAGAACATGCCTATTGTCGGTTTTACAATTAAGGAGATTCTTGACTTTCCAGATTCACCACCTCCGGTTCGTGTGTCTTCTAACGTGAGTGGCTTCATCTCCTTTTATATTTCTTATCAAATGTCTCCAATGTATGCATGGAAACGTATATCACAGAGTAGTTAGGAGATGGATGATTACTTAAAATGGGCGTTAGTGGTTGACGGCTTGAAATAGGTGACAAAGTTGGGAATAGGCAGAGAATTTACGCGCTGACAGTATATCATATAACGAAGATGCGTATGTGAGAGTTAGTTTGCATTTTTATGATGTTATGTGAAAGGGTTTTGACAAATCATCAGTTCAAAACCCAAAATGGACTAATTTCAGGCACAGATCACTAACGAAGACACCATACACGCCAGCTGAGGAGGCGTCTGTGGAAGACAATATGGATAAATTTGTTTTTCTCCATAGACGAGACGTTTTGTTGAACGAGTTGAAAGTATCCTTTAGAATGGACAGTGGAATAGCAATTGCCAGGATTTTGAATAGAGCACCCAGTTCGTTCAGGGCTCCAAACGAATTAGGACATTTAGATGTAAGTAAGTTAAGATTGTGAGTCAATCTTGACTCAATTACTTCGGTGTTTGGGCTAAGGCTGTCCTTCACACAAACTCTTATTGATTTCACCTTTTTGTGATAACAAGTGAATCTCTTAAGCTCAAATGATGGTTGAGTTCATTACTAGCGATTTTCTCTAATTTAATTACAAATTAACTGCATTCAAAAATCACTTTATCTTTATTTTATTTTAACTACCAGTCCGATTGATTTGGAGCCCTGTTGTTATTTCAAACAATGATAAGTCTGAGTTATATGATCAGGACTTAATTTTAAAATAATATCAAATTAAAGGATATGCAACTTCTATATTATCATTTATCTCTTCACATGTGATTGAAGTGGGCAATTACATGTGACATTGGCATTTATCGAAACCGAATCTGAGCTGATGCGTGAATGTGTTTTCGTCTCTAGTTGGAAAGGGAGATTGTTATAAACGCCAACTCCACAACTCCAGCAAGAGAAAGAGCACGGCCTGGCGGTGACAAGTATTCAGTGAGGAAACAGTCGTCTCAAACGGACAGTGGGTTTGAAACGGCAAGCTCCGCAATTCAAGAAGGTCAATCGCCAGACAGTGAAGAAAACACGTCGCCAATTGTTGGGGGTCGTCACATTGATTCAACGCCCACGTCATCTCGAGAGAGGTCCCTGAATAGAGCACCAATTTCTTCTTCCACACCTCTCAACAATGCTAATGCACAACATCTCTCCGAGGCTGTTGAGGCTCCGGTGTCAAGTGTACTTAGAGGGGGAAGAGGGAATTCGAATAGGAAAGTGCACGAGTGTACCTACTGCCAAAAACGATTTGATAGGCCATCTCTTCTCATTAGACATGTACGCATTCACACTGGCGAGAGACCATTCGCGTGCTCACATTGCAGTAGTCGCTTCACCACCAAGGGTGCATTGGTGGACCACGAACGCATACACACTAAGGAGAGACCGTACACATGTGAATACTGTGGCAAGACATTCCATGCTGCTTCCAACTGCTGCAATCACGTGAAGAAAATACACAAGAAGGCAAGCCTCCTATATCTCCTCCCCCAATAAACACTACCCTCTCTCCCCCTTCAGGTACTCAATCATACATGCACCGAGTGTGGAGAAGGTTTCTTGACACCGGGTCATCTCCGACGCCACATGTACAGTCACAATGGCAACTTCCCCTTTGTTTGTCAAGTTTGTCACAGAGGCTACCCCACCGAGTCTCGATTGAGGAGTCATGAGTATGTTCACACCGAGAAGCCCTACAAATGTCACTCTTGCCCAAGTGCCTTCACTACCAAGGCCTCACTTAAGGTTCACATCAGACGCAAACATGGTGAGTTTCCCATGCATTCGAGCATTTCCCAACACTCTGAAGGCAGAGAAGGCGAGTCCTCCAATACCCCACCTACCTCGATGCGTGTGCTCCGACCAAGTGAACCAAGTCCACCACACGCCAACTTCAGAACAGATGACCCCACTGATGGCACCAACACCAACCAACCTCCAATCCAAATGGGTAATTGTCTTTCCTTCACTTAAATCGACTCATTTTCACCTCTCACTCACTTACCTCACTCACCTCACCTCATCTCCTCTCCTTATTTCAGCTCCGTTTACCCACTCGCACATCAACTCACCCACTGCGTCTCCACCTCAAATCGCCTCTCAGCCTATTCCCTCTCAAGAAGACGAAGAAGAAGAAAAAAATTGATCCTTGTTGTTTCCCACTTGGAGACATTAAATTAAGTATCCCATTAAATTAAGTATCTAGCTCATCACAAAGTAGCGTTTGGTGTAGTGAATTGTGAAGTTGGAATTTTTTATTACCTAATAATTTTCTTCAATATTGAGGTTTGGAGCAAGTTTACTGGCACTTTACACTTTAAGCATTAATGGCAAGTATGGTAATTTTAAATTTCAAGTTGTAAGGCAAATAAGTATTGGTCTTATTCTTACTTCAAAGGCATTTAAAATAGCGCTTTTTTTCTTTTGATTTAGCACTTTTCAGCCATTCCTCTCAGCGTGTACCCTTCCATTCTTTCTCGACTTTCTTCAACTGCTTGAAGGATGAAATAAAAGCTAAAGTTTTAATTTTAATTAAATCAGTGTGTATTCAATTAGCAAGAAACGAGTTTGTCTTCTTCGTTTTCCTCTTTTAGATAAAAATGACGTCCTCGAAGTATCCGCGACTTCTCTGAGGCAATGACGGTAAGCAATAAAGTTTCTGAATTCAAGGATTCATTAAGACCACTTCCAACGTCAGTCATATCTCCGAAACTAGGACAATTCCATCATACACGCCTTCACTCGACGATTATTTGCTTCAGTGTGTGAGTTCTAAATCATTTGAAATACTAAATATTGGTTTTATACTTCAATTATACTCACGTCCCCACGGTCCTTTTAAGGGCCTTTTTCCCCACAGCGAAGCCAACTCCCACCTCATCGTGGTGCTGTGGTGAAACTGCTAATGTTTGGAACATTGAGTGCTTGTCACTTTCATCCATCATTAGTAGGCCAAGAGGAGTGGCTGCGAAAGTCGATTTAAATTGTTCGCTCAAACATAAACCAGATGGGACTGAAAGTAGGGCCATTTGATAGGACACTAATCACATAGACATTCGGTAGATTATAATGTTATGATGAATTGGCCTGAGATGCG